TATGAAAAACAGAACTTTAGCATAAAATATGAGTTTTATTCAAATTTGTACAGTAGAACTATGTTTTAATAGAAACAAAATGTTCAAACATTTTTTTATTAAAATACTTATTAATTTCCTGTAAAAGGAATAAACTTTAACCGAAATAATCAGTTTCAAATATTTTTCCAAACTTCTGTTATAGAGTTTCATCTTTTATTTATTTTTTAAGGTTATTTATAATAATAATCTTTCCTCTTTTTTGACAAAAACAAAATAATTTACTTGTTATTCATCCATAAAAATATCATTGTTCACAATCAGTAGTTTTGTATTTATTAAATTTCTTCACTATTTTACACAATTCAAAACCTACTTTAATGCTTTTATGTAACACAATACTATTTACAACACAACAAATATATTTTGAAAAAAGAAAAAAAATCCAAAAAAACTTCAGGTTTTGAACCGAGTCGTGTCTCCATTTGGTTTGACCGTGTCATTCCCCAAGAAAAAAAAACAAACAAATAACAAGGGATGTTGTTAAGTAGGTTTTACCAACTCCAAGTTTGGCGTCTATGCAAGCTTTGAATTTATTATGTTTCGCCAGGTAACTCCATATAATATTTTAGTTCATTATCATGAGTAACCTCCCTTTTACTGAAAAAAATACCAATACGGAAGACGAAAGTGAAATGTTTCTGAAAAGGGGTTTATAAAAATGTAGAAAAATAGTATAATTATGTAAAAAAAGATACACATGTTTTGAGACATTTTAGAAAATATATAAAATGTATAATTTCACTTGACCATTCCGAGTCAAGTAAAAACTAAAAAAAACAACTTTATATTAAAACTCTAATCGGACGTTATTTATTCTAATATTCACTGAAACATTTAACTTTAATCAAATTAAAATAATTATAAATTTATATTTTTATGCACAAAAAGAAAGACCTGCCTATTTACAAACGTTTCTTTGATAATTTGATTATTCTTATAATAATTTGAATGGTGAATCACAAAAACATAATGTGTAATGTTTACGAGATAATAAGAAATCTTAAACGTTTATCCGTTCAAAATCCATCCAAAAAATTTTCAAGAAAGTTTTTATATTTTCCTAGATAAATCGAAAATCTCATTATTTTCCAAAGATAATTCCAGACGTCAAAGCTTACATAAACGAATCAACTGGTTCTACCAAGTCTTGCCTCCAGAAATGTTAACTCTCCGCCATTTTGATTTTATAACTGATGAATGAATGAAATGATTACTGATGGATATGCAAGAGATCGTTCAAAATGTAAAATTCAACCTCCTAACAGTACATGTAAAACCTGACCCCATGTAATTAATTTTTCGCTCCTTAACTTTTTAACTACCAGGCGTGTAATAATAGTTTGACTACCAAGTGTGTAATACTATCATTTCCCATTATACACATGTGATTAGAAAATTAACAACACAATTTTTGAAACTGTACCGAAATGCTTTCCATAAATAAATGATCTAGTATGATATCACGGCAGTGTAAAACGATCATTTACAATATGAGAAAAAAAGTAAAAATATTAATTTCTTTACATCCAGATAAACCTTTTGAAGGATTCCTTTCCAAGCACAATTATATCCAAAATAACTCGAGATGTGCAATAATTTCGGCAATATGGTTATAACTGTTCGGTATTTCTACCCCAAAACTTTGCCTACGAAATACATGTTTACATCAATCAACTTATATCATATATGCACACAGCGTAAATTAACTAATCAAATGTATATAATAGAAATGCTGAAACAATAGTTTCCACAATAACAAATTTGTAGTTGACACTCCACACAGATAAAACAATAATAAATTCACAAATGAGCCGCGTCACGACAAAACCAACATAATGGGTTTGCGACCAGCATGGATCCAGACCAGCCTGCGCATCTGCGCAGTCTGATCAGGATCCATGCTGTTCGCTTACAACCCCTATAACAAGTTTGAAGTAGAAAAACTGATAGCGAACAGCATGGATCTTGATCAGACTGCGCGGATGCGCAGGCTGGTCTGGATCCATGCTGGTCGCAAACCCATTACGTTGGTTTTGTCGTGACGCGGCTCAAATATATGATCATACTTCAATCGATGGCTCAGAAAAAGTAAATCTACTAATGCCAAAGAACGTTATACATGAACCATAATCTGTTTTCATATTATATAATCTAATTCAAACACATTTGAAATACTATTAATAACATTTGATACTTGTAAAATTTGAATAATCTATAAAACTATTGGCAAGTTAATACAATTACCAGAATAATTCTTGTTTAATTAAACAGACCGACTTTTTAAACATAAAATCTAACTTTTCTTAAATATGTTTCACGTCATTATTAATAAAATGTAATTAAATCAAGCCAAATGCCTAAAAGTATCTCTAAAAAGTCATCCACATACTTTAATACAAATTATTTATAGAAAAGCAAATAAAATAACACTAATAATGATAAAGTAGAAATTTAGTTTGATCAACAAATCAAAAGACCCTTCAGGATGGAATATACATCCGTTTACGTTACAACTAACTTTGTTGCACTTGTATACTTTTATCTTTATTGCAATCGCAGCAATGGGACAGAAAAATCATAGTTCATATGTGTATTAGTAAAACAACCTATCTTTGCATTATTTTGCTGTATCAGAAAATATTAATCTACTCCCTTATTCAACACGGTAAAAAGTTAAATAGTTATTTTCATGCACATTTTTAAAGAACTACATAACTCTAAATTTGACAACGAAGTACACATTTGCTTATCATTTAGCAACAGTTTTATACATGGATACTTATTATTCATTAAAGTAACCTCGTTATGTCCTTTGTAAAAGTGATATTTTTGAAAACACTTTACCTAAGATTGCCATGATTCTGAATAGCTGATTTTTGTATGGATAATCCAAGCATTTACCTTGCCGGTCCAGAAAGTGATTAGTCTTTGTCATAAGTATAGAACCAGTTCAGCCTGTGAGTCCGTGTAGTGTGACCAGACTCTATACTTTTCGCAGCTCATTTTTTGTTTTGTGTTGAAACACATCCAAGTTCAAATGGTCTGTTCTAAATTTTAGGCAGAGCTAATCCATTACACAAGGAACCGATATAAAGGTAAAGGGTTCACACTCTCTTCTTCAAAATTGTAATACCAGTGGAAGACAAATGAAAAGAGGTAATTTAGGTTTTCAGTCAAGTTTTAAAAAGGTATTTCATAACACATCATCAAGAATGAAGAATTAAAATGATATTTTGTCATTATTACGAATTGAGCCTTTGTTTTAAACATAATAACCCGCTCTTCAAGATATTGACCCTGAATTGTCGATATGTTAGGAAACTTGAGGTAGATATCTGTGTTATAACAAACATACAAGTGTTGGAATAACAATGGCACCAGAAATATTAACAATTTGCAAAATATTTTACAATATTTACAATATGTTAAAAGTATTCATGCACTAGTTCATTATACATTATATACTTAAACTCAAAATTCTTATATTAACAAATCATACCTTGTTTTCAAAATACTTGTGGAAACTTGTGGAGAAATTCATATACAATAATGACTTATCATAAACAATCTAAAGGTCTTTTAACTTCCAATTTATTAATACTGTTACCAAAATAACCAATTTACAAATAAGTTTAAACATATTTTCTAAAATAATGATAAGTCATATATAAAACCATTTTTATCAATCAATTTTAACAAGCAGCTACTCAATTTTAAAAGTGGAAAGAACTAAATTTACCGGATATTTTTAAGTTCGTTTTGACTATGAAGTTGTTTGATATATTTTAAACTCTGAAGCAGCTTTTATGCTAAAATAAGGGAAAAACAATTCATTCTTAAAACAGAACTATATATTTATATATATTCATACATCTTAATTATTACAGATGACAAAAACAGAAACATGCATAACCAATATATCAAAGCAAATCTAAAATCAAATTGACCATACTATTACTAATGAATGAATGAATTCAATTTGGTACACGTTTTTTTTCACAAATTGAAGCATATAAAATAACAAGTTGCTATACAGAAAATATAAAACAAGTTGTTTTTTTGTACTCAAGCAATGTAAATAAAAAAATATTTTTGATGTAGCCTCATAACATTCGATTGACATATAGCGTTTAACATTGAATCAAAAACAAATTAGCACGATAAAATCATCTAAATATTTTAAAACAACACTAGAATATGTTCATTGCAGGCCAATAAGTAATTTTTGGAAGCATATTGGTATTCTTTGGTACCTTTCTATATTTATTTACAACCATAATCATATATATATAATATGCTAATTATATGCAAATTTATTTGAGGTAGATAAGGTTATTTAGACAATATGTTAATGACATCCAGTAAGGATTTATATGCAGTTGCCCTTATCCTTCTTTACTTCTGAAATAGACTCGTTCTCCATGTTCTATTTTCTGTTTTTACCCAGACCATTATCCAGTTTTGAAATATTAAGATGGAAATTGTCACCTTAGTTGGTCTGTAAATAGGTCAATTGATTCGTCAGACACAATATATCCCAAGGCTTGCCTGCCTCTATATTGATAGCAAATATTTTTATGTTTAAACTCAAAAGGCAAGGGTTAGCAGTTAGTAAAACTATCAACTACATCTAAATCCATTTACTTTAGAGATAACTGATTAATCCACGTGGTAAACCATATATTACTATAGCAACTCTTACAGCTACACATTAATAAACAAAACTAAAAGTCAAAACAGACTAACAAATATTTCAATATTTTTACAAGTTGAGTTTTTTCAGTATTACAGAACTTCTGAACGATGAAGTAACTTTAAATTCTATTTTAATTTTTATATGCTCGAATATCTTTTTCAAATGCTCGGTTTTGAAAAACCCAAATAACAATACTTAATGTGAATTTGAACAAGTAGCATTTTAATTGTTTCCCCAATAACAAATTTGTAGTTTTAACTTTATACAATCTTAACAAATAATTGTATTTATGACGCTCATTTTATACAACAAAACCTTACAGATAAGAGTCAAAAAGTATAATTCATATGGACAAAATAATGAACAAATGTGCGTAGTAAAATCAAACATAACAAATGAAGCAAAAGCATAAGCGAAATACACAAGTATTCATCATTGCACCATCTTCATCAAAGCAACAAATATGCTCGATCTGGCAATGCAATAATTATACATAATTGATTTTAAAAAAGTTAAATCATAATAAAATTAGATTAAAAACCTTCATACGTATTTTTGTAACGTCTTACCTAACATGCGAAAATTTATATATCTGTTTTTATGGCATTTCTTCGCTTTTTATGACCCTGATACAAAAGATTTAAAAACAGCTGACTGTAGTTGAAATTAATCACTGTCAACATACAACGGCCTTTGACGTCATACATGCGTTCTACATTACATCAGATGCATCGCTTATTTTGTATAATTAACCCAATAAAACATTATATAACCATGTTTTTATTTCGGTATTAAAATATGTCTAACATTAATTGTGTTTTTGTTGTATTTTTACCAATGAAATAAAAATAAATTACAATTGCCTTATTACACTCAATCTTGTGTCGAAAATCTAACCCTCCTAAGAAGACGCTATATTAAAGGAAATTATAAATTGTCAGTACCTATCATACATTCCCTTATAAATTGTATCGGAATTACCGTTTTAATACAGCCTTTAATAAATGGTTGTACTAACAACAAGTTAACAATAAAAACAAAATCATATCGTCAAAGTATATTTTGTTTTCTTTAAGGTATAAAAAGGGTTTACTTTTATCAACTTAAAAATAGAACAGAAACAATACGCACCTCAAACAAATGATTTTAAAATAATTTTACAAAATTGTACTTATAAAAGAATCACAAAGTATTTCTAACGTATTTTACACCATAAAAAGCAATTATATAACGTGTATACTAAAAAACAAAGCAGAAAAATACTCCAGCAATTAAGAACACTGTTTGTAACAAAATTCAAACCGGTTTTATAAACCATATTCGAATTTATTTAGTAATGTCTTCAAATCCACTTGTTCCGGTGCTGTTAATCTACCATAAACAACAAAATAAACTATTTGTTCTAATCAAACTGACTAATAATTGTAGTTTCTAATAGAATCATAGTTAAGTTAGAGGTAGTTTCTAAGCATAACCCGAGGCTCCCATCCCTCCAGAGAAATCAGCACCATTCAAGCTGCTCCCGCTCCCTTTTCGTGACCCCTTCTGTTCGTTTGGATCCTTTAAAGGACAATCAGCTATCAGATGCTCCGTGGATTTACAATTGTGACATCTCTTTGGTAAAGGTCCATAAGGACATTTAGCAGCTATATGGTTTCCAAAGTCACCACAGTTGTAACACCTTCAACAGATATATAACCTTACATCATTGAAACACAGTGATAACAGCAAGTTGTTTAATAATAATTGTAATTAAGATGAGCTTAGCATACTTTATTGCTCGAATATGTCCTATATTAATAAACATATATGCTGCAGATAACTCAGATAAAGTTTTATTAGCGACCATAAAAAAATTAAAGCATTGTTTTTGCAGATAAAATTACAGCATTCAATGCAAATCTAAAGAAAGTAATACCTACATACACATAGTGCTAATATTTGACCAGATGCACGTGCGGTAAGAAATTATGAGAAGGCCTGATTATATATGTTAAGTTTGAATATTTTTACAGTTGAAAGATATTTTTATACAAGATTATGGATGCAAACACACCATATCTGAGTTTCAAAATCTAGAAAATGCAAAGGTTGACACAAAAAGTGTTGAATGTACTACTTTCTTCATCATTTTTCTATTCAGAAGGAATATAAGCTAATTGTGCGTTATTCAACAAATTCTGTAACTTACGTAGAGAGTAAGTACACTAAGCTAGGATAATGCATGTGGACGATTTCTAAATTCTTGAAAATATAACATAATGTTTAAAGCGTGGTGCTGTTATTAACGAAGCATAATTACTTCAGGTTTATACTTTACCTTATCTTTCTAAATTTCTTTCTGGACATTGGTCTTCTGTCAGATCCTCTGCATTCCACACCAGATGGTCCCGACACGTACGTTGCCTCCACACCTTTATCCGACGGCACATTTTCAAATTCAACTTCTTCACCATCAGCCAAACTTCTAAAACCTGCCTTATGTATTACTGACTGAAAGCATAATAAAAATATTGTCTATTCCAGTACAAAAATTCACCTTATACACTAATTTGTGCCGTGATGTTCAACAAATTATTTCAGACTGAATCTACCCATCCGACCAATGCCCAATATCAGCCGAAATTCAGTCAGGAACCTATTTTGTAATTTCCCTTAAAATAACACAGTTCGGTTAGTGTTAATTTCATTTCATATTTAGAACAATTGATGAAAATATTCTATTCCATAAAATTGTCAATTAAAGCATTGCTAAATATTTGAAAAAAAAATATATATATCTATATTTATAACAAGGACCGACGTCATTTTAGAAAAGATGTGCCTTACATTATTCTTACAATGATATCTTTAAAATAAGACATATCTGTGTGCTTTGTGAGTAAAGTTAAAAAAACTATTTGATATAAAGAAAACTTATTCATTGTCACCAAATTTACTTTCTATATTCAGCGACAAAGTTAACACAAACGCAATACATTTACTGGGAAATTGCTTTTTTCCTAGAGAATAAGATTAGGGCTAATTCGGTGTGAGAGTTGGCCTAGAAGAAACGACATGGGGTCAGTTCGTGTCCAGTTAAACATATCACTGTGAATATTGATTGTATAGTGGAGAAAATAATTTCTTACTTTCTTGCCACTGGCGATCGATGAAGAGCAGCTATGTTTGACCAAAATTGTGAGATGTCGAATTACAGAATGACAATTTATATACAAGCGATGTCTTCTTGTATAAAACTAAATGTTTGCTTAACATTTTAATATAACTTTATAAAATTATTATAAATGCATCATTCAATATCTTTACACATTTATGGGTCGCTACTTTTCCTTTTTTTCTTGTTCTTATTTTAAAATTTAGCAAAAACAACATTTTAAGTAACGTTCAATTGTCAACTCGAATGTAGAATTTGTATTTTGAGATGAAAATTTATGCAACACATACTTATCATTGTGTACGTAAAATATGTATACAATTGTTCAAGAATCAAAAGATTTATTTACATTTGTTAAACAAGGATTGTGGCATTGTCGAAACAGATTGATCAGGTCTAACAATGTTCCCTTTTCTTGTCACCCAGAATTATAACACAATAACTGAGATGAAAGCGTATGTGGTCAGGTAGGCAATATTGTTAATAGACAAATCATTTCATTGCTATGGTTACGGTGTCTTGTAACTTCCACACAGACTTGTCATTAAAGTGGTATATCAAAGTACTAAAATATTTTTACAGCAGATCTTTGGCCACATTCGTCATAATAATCTAATTTAATCTTTGAAAACTCAGATCTCTAAAGCGCAGCACTGAAGTAATTGGTTTCTTTTTTCTTCTCTCAAAGGTATTGTCAAAGTTTCATTCAAAGAGAAGAGGATGGGCACCTTTAACATTATCATTCCCGTTCTATCACTTAACCTTTGCATCACAAATGCTTACTCACCATTTGAATTAAATATCATAGGTAATAAAATTCGCTTTACAACATACATATCTCGGTATTCTGATTCTATCAACATTCGAATAGGAGCAAATGTCATAATTCTAGTATCAATTGGGCACATCCGTATCTTGATGGAAAATAGAAGTCAATAAAGTCCAGTTTGTAGCAGACGGATCAATGGAGAATTGGGAGAGAGCGGTCATTTGATAGAAATAACGGCGTTATAAATTGCCAGCAAACGACGTCTGTAATTCCCAAGGAAATGTACATTGCATGAATTATGAGCACAATCTCCCTTCTAGAGATCTCATCATTGTATAATACCGCTTGTTTTCTAGTAATATAATAAGTTTTCTGACAAATATCAAAATATATGAATAATAAAATAAAAAATTGTAAAAATATGCGACGTGGTTTGTTACCTAATACGTGGTATTTTGAATTGAATAGGAAATAGTGTTTTGCCAAGTCAAAACTTTGTATGATGCTGTCGAGGCAGTATGTAATGTTTGCGGTATATAAAAACAAGAATGCACTCATTGAACTGTCTGACAATTATCGTGCCGAGTGCTGCTTACGTACAAAACAAGTTTTGAAATTTTTTTAATGTTGTTTGATGTTTGTCTTTAAGTTATTCTGATGCTCTGCAAAAATACGTGAAGGTTTCCCACTGAATATGTTTAATTTGAATAAAATAATGAATAGACTTTTTATGGGAAGCTGCATTCCCTATTACAAGTCAAGTCAAGTTGGTTTTTCTTTAAAGAAACTGCCAGTGTTTTAATGACACTATATATTCATATTGTGACCACCTACAGTGTGTCGAGTTCAAAACATAACACTTCTTTAAAGGAAATAGAAACATGTTTATTTCATACATACAAAGAGACTCATACATACAAAGAGACTGTGTAGCAATTATTAATATTTTTAAAAATCAGATTTGAGCATTGTATATCTTTAATTATGATGATTGTACGAAGTGATGGCTTGCAAATGTCGAATTACTCACAAGCACATAGTTCTTATTCATAATGTATTCTCCTTACACATGCAAAAAAAAGATAACGAACATTGTTGCAGATGATTCAGTTAGAAGGAGAAGCATATTCATAATTCAATGAAGTATAAATAACCTTATTTCAAATGTCTGTTTTACACCATCCAACAGTCATTAAATGAATTATTGTGGTTTTTGCGAAGGTTTATAGAAACTTTATTTTTGAGAGGTTTTGAGCGCATTGCTCGTTCATAAAAGAGGATAAGTTTAAGGTCAAACCGCAAGTTGAAATGTGGTTAAAGTACCTGAATCACATCAACACTCTCTTCTCATAATTTATGAATGAGGCTCATATTTAACCACATGAAATTGTAACTAAATTTTACCAATATTAAATTATGATAAAGAGCTCTTTCCGGCAGAAATGTAAATATAAAATAAAATTTGGTACCTTCATCAATTAATTTCTATAAAGGACATGTTATTATTAACTTCAATCGAACATGTGGAAAAAAGAACAAATAGTATACATCATGTTACTATATAGAGATCATGTTTAACATCTTGCAAGCACGACATGAAAGGTGTATTCTTGTCCACACTGGACTCTGAACATTTAGACACCATTTTTCATCCGGCTAACAAGACAAAGGGTTGTAAATATCACTTTCGTTTAAGGATTTTTGCAATAAAAAATCAAGTCCCAAACATGTCGTAAATTGCACGTTACAAGCATCTGTGGACCCACATGAACGTTGATTTATGGCGGAAAAATAACCGGAAGTTGTCTTGCATGTCAAACTGGACGTCTCAAAAGAATAAATATCAATTAATCCGGGTCGCTTAGGCTAAGGCATCAATTTAAATTGTAATTAATGGCAATAAATCTTGCATAAAGTGGAGCCTTAACCATACATTTTGGATTCTTAATTGACCACGTGCTGGTGAAGACAAATAGAACTGTGACTGACCAGTATTCAAGCTTTTCACTTTCAACGGTCCAAGGATTGATAAATGTTACAAGCATGACCATATTGTTATTCGCTACTTTAACAATTTAACAGTTTGGCCTTTGTCAAGAGAATGATCTTCAATAAATAAGTCAATGTTTCATGACAAATGTAGTCACAAAGATATGTACATGTATAAACGCTTCACGTTGTATTTAAATATGAAACCACAACATTCAGTTTTGTAGTCAAAAAATGCGCAATTTACAAAATTTCCTGAAGTTTACATGCAATTCACTCATGTGCAATTTGACGTCAATACTACTTTTCTATTGGTTATTTTTAAGATTTTTTTTAATTTATCGGTTAATTAGAATTAAAATATATTTCTAAACATAAATATGCCCTTATATTTGTATATACTCGGTTCAAGGCTTCTGTGATGTAATAAATTTTGTTCTTCAAATGTCCTGTTCATCGTTAATGCAAAGTATTCAAAGCAACTGTACTGAGAGAGGCTTTTGTAATTTATTTATACCGACACTACAATTCGTCAGAGAATAAGAGCTATACAATGGTCATCTTAGAAATCGTTTGTTTGCGTTTCTTGGACGAGAGGGAACGTTGTTAATTACAAGGCCCTGTCCAAATGTTTGACAGTCCTGATTAGATGTTTTAACTGGACAATGGACACTTAAAACAACGAAGATATTTTACAAAAGACGCATGTAAAACATGTTATCTTCGCTAAGAATATAAAGATCGTTATGGCGTTTTTGTGTTGCTGTATCTTAATTACAGACATTGGCTCAAGAGAATTTGCATCTCAAAATAAGCATCTTTTAGTTATGCTGTGAACAAAAATGCATTCTGGGCACGACATGTGTTTCCTTGACAACTGTCAGAACATTGCATTGGTCAATAAGATAGAGTATCCAGTGGCTATTGTTGGTATATTTGTTAGACAGTTGGTCACACGTCTAGAACCATTACAAATCAAAAACAGAAAAGAGAGAACAGATGCCGCGTAATTTGGACTTTAATAGATACAACCTGATACAAAAAGCAATTATGTTTGATGTCAAAACAGCTGCAGATTTGCGGTTTCCCTGTACAAAATTGCACCACCGTGTCAAGTGAACATCTAATAATTTCAGAATTTCATTAATAAATGCATTTGCTTTATTAGATCTGCAGGGTGCCATGAGGAAGATAGAGTGAAGGAAACGCCTTCATAAATGATGCTCTGAATCCAAAATAGTATTAACATAATTTAACAGATACAAAAATAATGTGCTACATGCATTTCAAAATATTTGAATTTTGTAAGTGCCAGGACGTGCCCTTACAGTTATCTATCGCTAAAAAGAAGTCTTTCATATTGACAATATTCTTATTTTCCCTGTATACTTACCATGTAAGGTCAACGTTTATGTTTGTCAGTATTCCATTTATTTTTTAACCTTTTAATGTATGTATTCTGTCTTCCTTTTACATTATGAAACTTCCATTCAAAGTTTAGTTATTAAATGTAAGAATACCAAATTAGAGCTACCACTAGTATAGGGTCAGATTGCAAGCTGATTTAGCTCTTTACCGGTGGCAAAGGTTAATCACTTTCGGTTTCAGAAGGTTAAGGGTTACTATGTTCGGCATAAATCTATGTTAAATGTTAATTTTCATTAAGATAAACTAGTACTTAATGAAAATAATAATGCAATATTTCTAAAATTATATTAAAATTGTTCTTATTTCTAAACAGTAAAATAATTAATTAAATTTAACACCAAATAATGAAGGTTTCAAAAATTAATAAAGTTTAACTTTCAACCAAAACATATGCATATGTATAATCGTTTCAATTGCTTTTAGTTTCAAACCGGTGCTAGAGAGGGGGTTAGAGACGCTGCATGTCATCACTTTACCTCATAAACAGACCCGAACAAAACGAGTTGCCAGTCAAAATGAGTCTGCAATTGTTATGTGATTGCTTTCATTGTTTCTGAGGTATCTCCTCTTTTCCAGATTTTCAAAAAACTAAGATTAAGTAACTAACAGTTTATAACCTGGCAAAGATATGTACTGTATACAAGAATTATAAGAAGTAAAGACCAGGTTTCAATTTGATCACACATACGCGGGAGCATGATGCTATTGTACATTTTAGTGATCTAAATATTACATAATGTTTCATAATTTATTCAGTATTTTTAGAGTTATTGCCCTTGACTTAGTAAAAATTTGCAATTCTCAACTTGAAAGAAATGAAAGAAAAAATGAAAGAAAACTGATCTATTAATTTATATATTTCACATTATTTACATATAAAAATAAGAATTTTAAAAGGACAATTAAAATGCTTTAAATGTGTATCGCGTAAGTAAGACGATGTTTTTGTTAATTTTTATTTTATTCTTGTTTAGCTTATACTTTAATTTTCTTCTTGTTCACAAGCAAACACATAAGACTTGCAGTAACACTGATATATAGTTAAACTGCATTTCCAGTAACATATAAAATGATTCATACACGCTATTCTTGAAAATTGACATAAAAACGTTTGAACGTGAGAGAAGTATTCTACATGTGCGAAATTCCTCACACATCATGTAGTTTTTAGTGAATGATTAAACAACATTTTTGCGGTTAAGCTTTGCATATTTGTTTGCGGCAACGTGTGTAAGTTTTTAGGTTAATGGTATAAATTGCGCTGCCTCACACTTGAGTGAACGCTTACATTTTTGTGTAAATTTAAACATAAGCAAGTCCAAGTGCGAGTGTCATAAACCTCATATGACTTTTAATAAAGCCTTTTTTCGACCTATTTTCATTTACACTTTGATATGATTTCAAAATGCACTACTGGTTGCAATGCCTCATCTGTACTGCGCCTTAACACCAAAATATTTGGAAATGAAATAAATATTCTCTTTTTCTGAAAACACCAAAATTACTTCAATAAAATAAGCCTTACTTTAAAATTATTAGGCAGCACAGGGTTATTTTTTTATTATTTTTTTTGACAATTTAACCTATAGGAATTGAATTCTCTTCCTTTGTTAAAAAGGTATTATCCCTTCATTTCCCTACAAAATAAACGAAAAACTATAATTAAGAATAATATATATTAATATAATAATATATATATATTGATTTAATAAAGAGGAAAACAACATATTTCATTATTTTTAGCAAATTCAGTTGGTAAGTCAAGAATTTAAACGAATACCTTTTGTTGGCAAATTACGATACTGCGTTATTTGTAATTGACCACGTGCAACATTTATGCTGTTATAAAAAAAGTAAAAAACGTTTTCTTCATAGGCTTATCATTTATACTGCGTTGTTTTGTGTATACGTGTAAAGACCACATATGAAAGAACTGATACCAAAGGGTGTTTGTTACTCGTAGGAGTAAATGAGTAACTCATTTTAGTGAGTAATATATATTTCAGGGAGTGGGCATTCTAAGCTGAATTGTTGAAGCATTATATGTAGCTGTTCCTTTGGGTTTTTAAGTACTTTTAATACCTATGTTACTAAGCTAAGCTTCGCATTAAATTGTCACTACATTCTGGGGATGTAAATAAACCGTCGAAGTATATGGTGTTGTTTTAAATATTACAAATTATCATACTGCATGTCTTTCAAAAACTAGAACATAGTATGCAACAACCTAAAATAAATGAATTACGTCCATGACGCTGTAATGGACGCTGTAAATTTGCATTATTTTTTCCAACAAAAAATTATATTTCTTACGGTGGAAATATTAATGCAAAATATGCCAATGCTTATAGAAGGTCCGTGGTCCGATAGATCATTAAGCTGCAAATTTCACACATGACATTTACAATAACGGCATGACTTGAAACCAAACCAAAAATTGTCTTACAATTTATGAGTATAAAAGAACATTTAAGAACACCAAAGAGGCAAAACTGAAAATGATGAAGACATTTTGCTTCATGGACCGATGGTGTCAGCTCCCCGTCATGCCCGCCTACTCTTAAATTAAAATTGTAAAAAAAATAAAGCTGATTTTGTGCTTACCTGATGAACGAATACGTCTTGTCCGCCATCATCAGGTGTTATAAATCCCCACCCTTTGGCAACATTGAACCATTTACATTTTCCTCGCCGCCGGCCTCCACCTACAAAAAACAAACATTATATTTGGAAAATAATTCTTCCATATACAAAATAAATATTATCTAATTGGTGTTTTAGCAAAATAATTGGTAAATTTTAAAATATCCTTTATGGAATTATTGACGAAACTAGTGCAGTATCACTCGCAATTTAATACTTAAAATTTCGTTGCATTAAACGTTAACTTTAGTCACCTCAGACATCAAACTTGTCTCTTATTTCTAAAACTCGACGGACATTATACTCGTAGGAATTAAGCTATATTGATAATAATAATAATAATAATAATAATAATAATAATAATAATAATAATAATAATAACAACAACAACAACAGAAATAATACAAATCTTGAAATCAAGGTCAATGATACTGGAAATGAGATAGGTAAAGTATTATTGAGGAACAATAAGCTGTTAAAATAGAAAAAAAAAGAAAACTTCAAAGAAAAAATAGATATAGATACTAATAGTACAGTAATTGGAAAGAAACCAAGAATAGAAAGAGATACAGAAAAACATCTATCAGTATTTATTTAAATGATGATAAAATTGTATGGGAACAAACTCAATTCACATTTACCTATAAAATAGTATTACTAAAAGTAATTAAAATTTAAACATCATTATGATGTTATGTATTTCATGGTGAAAATAATTACATGTATGTATATTTAATTTCAAATGATTTTATTTTATAAATTAAATGTATTTAGCGGCCTACCAGAAGATAGAATAAAAACATCGAGAAATATTTGAAGTGAATATATATTAACAACTTTAAGAGCTATATTATCACAATGTAATATTCCAAAAACTACTAGTAATTTAAAAAAAATCTCAATCTTTCCATCATTACAGTATTATAACAAATGCATCGCTATAACATTTATTTTTTAAACAAAACTCTACGTTTCCTTAATGTGAACTATAAACAATTAGCCAATAGGTACAAATTAATTATTTAAACAAAGTTGAATTGAAATGCTTATAAATCTTTCGAAAATAAAAGGAAAAAGTTAACGATGACAATTTTGGCAGAAATAAATCAAAAGTTTATAAAGCTGAAGAAGAGAAAACACATCAGGTATTTCAGATATCTTGATAAGTTCTCGTTTGGGAACACCTGCGCGTTCACTAACAACTCGTCGAGGCATCAACGTCCATTATATGCACATTAATTAATACTGATTCAGTACCTGATATTCCTAGATCCGCTACTATTATTGGTTTATACACTGATTGTTTTCTACCATAATGTTGATTTTTATTAGAATTTAAGCCTTTATCAATCAAATTCTCTTTTCCGCTTGGCTTTATTATAATCATAGATTAGATCTTATACTTTGAATGGGATGGTTGGCTTCATTTGGAAAGTATCGATGAAATTGATATCAAAGATAAAACTGTATCAGTATGTAACTTAATATTTTATTTTGAGACACAGAATTTTAATTGCTATTTTGAAACACAGAATTTTAATTGCTATATATGAGATTCATGATGCCTTAGTCTAATTTATACGTGAAAATGCTACAATAATAATTGATATTCGAATTAAATATTGCTTTGTAAATTCATTAAGTAACAAACAAACAAAAGAAGAAATTGGGAATATAAATATCAAGAAATATTTTTATTTATGACATATTCTAGCTTATGTTGCGATAATTTGAAGCTTGACCTTCTTGTACTTGAGGTGTATATAAACCTGTTCGGCCGATGTAAAAGTATACTACTCCAATGTAACATAGACATTTTATACAACAACCTAACATTTATCGTATTTATATAGTAACTAAAGTGACTCTTTTATGTTATAAAATGTTTATTTTAGCAACTGTGCTGTCTCAGAATATATATTGACAGAAATTGACGAATCAAAACGTTTCTCAAAATGATAGTCAATACATATTGTATTTTTCAAACAAGATGTTGACTTATGGTGTTTTTATTTTATTTCTTTAACTTCTTATCAATTAAAAAAACTATTGCAGTTCATAGCATATAATGATTAATATGTACAACTCTTGTGCACAAGTATTGCTTTACAGTTTTTTTCTAAATATTTCGTTAAAACAGTCAATCTTCTTAAGTAAAATAAAATTAATATATTTAATATAATGTTTTAAATATCCCGACACTAATGAATAATAATTGACTGTATATTAGGCTATCAAAATCAGTAATATTTGAAAACGATATCACTGGCAATATGTAGATAAATATGTTTTCGATACGTTTTTATATGTACGATATTTAAACACGTAATTAAGTAACCGGTGTCTAACCTGGCAGCCGTCACGAATAACGCTTTAAGTTGTTGTACTCTATAATTTCTGTTTTAAATGATACCTAACACCATCGGTAGGTGGATGAAAATGTTAATTTTTTGCGTCACACGAAAACACTTAGAAAGTCATACTACAATCATTACATGTAAAGGCAGCAGTGTTATTTACGTGAGCAATCATGATTGTAGATAGAACAGAATCAGGTCATAGTTTTATATATGTTATATCAAATTGTGCCATTGATGCATAAAATGAACTAAGATTACAGAGTTTGATTGGATGTGTTTACTAAGTTTGTTTCTGAAACAGACCTCGTTATAAAATCTGTGTGAAAAAGAGTAAAATATTTGAACCATTAAGTAAATATCATACATTATTTTTATGGAAACATATATGTATATAATTATTCACTATTTGAATCATTGAGTAAAAATAATACAACATAATCAAAACATTCCAACAATTGTACTTTTTAGTTGAACTATCAACAGGACGCTAAAAATAACAAATGTTTTCATAAAAACCTTTCCAATTTCATATTTTTGACCAATAAGTAAAAATAGCAACAACTGTTTAAATTTAACATTTATGTTTTAACTTTTTACATATTTACAATATGTTATTCTTGTTTTTTAACTGTTGTCTTTTTCGAACATACACTCATACAAGATAAATAAATTGTAGTTTTTGTTGTTCATGTGAATCATAGATATGTAGTCAACTGTATTGTTTGCTACATTCTCATAATATAAAAATATCATCAAGAAACAAGAAGAGGTTTTTTTGCAATAATTCAAAATTAAACGTTTAAAATATTTTCACCTCGTGATAAAATAACACTCGAAGAAACTGTCATTACTAATACTATTATTTATTTATTCTTAACTTATATATTTCAGATAATATTTCAGACGATGAGTTTTTATAAATTTACTTTGAATAAATTCGATATACATTTCAAGTTTTACAAAAAGATATTAAAACAAATAATTCATTTAATGCTATTAATCAATTCATTTAAATCTCAGGATTTCAGTGTACTATATAAAATCATTTTCTTTAAACTCCTGTTCAATGTTCAAAAGCAATACTGAATAATATATTTTTAATTTTAGACTTCATTTGCTATATGATACCCCCTGATTCATTTAGTCCTACCGCCTTCTGATAAAAATGAAATCTTGACTCAACAATTGTTCAAACACATCAATGAGTAAAGTCAAAAGAAAACTTTGATTAGATGTGAAATGAAACTAATTCTTCACCTGTGACTTTTCTGAATTGAAAGGACTTTTTTGTTACTAGTAATGTCTTGTCAATATATAATTAAGGAAGAAAAGTATTGAAAATAATCGTTGTGAAACTTAACACCTTCCAAAGCTGCAAGAGGCTTTAGAAAAATACATTTCGTTCAAAAATGAACAAAATAAAACATCATTTCATTACGACAAAAACTCAGGCTTTCTCAGAGCTCACATTTAAAGTTACCATTTTTAATATGATTTGCCTAAATGTTTCTCTAAAGGTCGGAAATGAAATATTTTTTACAAAAGATGAAATTCAAAAGACATATTTATGATAATTAAATAAAATAATAATTACAATGTTTATAAATAGGTATTTCGTGAAAGTGCTTTCGTGCGCAAATATATATCTAAAAAAATCTGTACACAATTAGGATTAAAAAAACGTCTAAAAATCGGTTCATATATTTAGAGAAATACAATTTGTGTCTATCAAGATAAGTTAATAGACGTTACCATGGTAACTGGAAGGAATTATCCAGGGTTGAAGTATACCAATTGTTTCTGAAACCATTATTTCTTAGTCACACAAACATACACACTTTACTTTCATGTAAAAAACATTTAAAAACTTCCTGTCACATTAGGCACACATTGCACAAAACATTACTTTAAAAGATAGAACTTATTTTTTTCTAATAACAATATGAAAAATTATTTTTTCTACCAATCTTATCTATCTTTAAAGAAAACCAATGGTCAAAACTTCAGGACTTTTCCATGATACGCCGATATTCCAAGGAAGATGACGTCATGAATTGATAAAGATAGAAGGAGGGTCTTGGACACCACAGATCAATATTCCAATATCTTCTTTCCCAGGCTGGGAAATTACAGAAACATCTCGTCAACATAATAAATGCAGACGTCTATAATGCAGACGTCTCTAAGTAATCGTGTTAAATATTCGAAAGAATATGTTCTCCTTTTTTTCTTGATATAAAAAATAACTTTGAATTCAGACTGCTATAAAATGACATTGTGATATAAAGTACCATTTCAACACAAATGACAATAATAATATTTTCGCACAACTTGCACTCGACATTAAAAACAGACAACAACAACATTGCTACCAATCTACAAAAGGTTACATTTTACAAAAACTGAGTAGATCCCTTTTCTTTTGATATATTTTTCTACAAATATGGATCAAATACATTGACTGTTTGTAAATTCATAAATATATACAAAGGTAGCAATCTCATAAATAACTAATTAAATTTAAAAACCTAGAATACCATTTTGTGGATGAGGATTGTACTGTTTGATGGGCTTAATATGAGTTGATTCCAACTGTGCCGTCAATATTCCTAGTCCGTTCATGTCATTGATGAAGACTGAACTTACAACCGGTTGATGGTAGATGTTGCTGTAGTCATACGAGTTGACCACTGGCTGATGAT